CGGGCCCTTGTGCTCACCCCCAAAGCTTCATTTGGGAGGGCGCTCGCGTGAGTGGAACAAGCATTTGCACCAATGAGAGCTTCTGCACCAAAGACAAATTCCTTGTATATCCAATCACGCTTGGCCAATAAAGAATGCTATTCTGTTCTGTTCTTATCCTACCCTACCCTATCCCTTTCTGTTCTGTTCTATGCCATGCCATTCCTATTCCTATTCCTATTCCTATTCCTGTCCTGTCCTGTCCTGTCCTATCCTATTCCCATTCCTTTCCATTCCATTCTACTCCATTCCATTCCCATTCTATTTCTATTCTATTCACAAATAGAATAGAAGTGAATAGAATGGAGCTTCACACGGAAGCTTCGTGCGAGTGGAGCTTCACACAGGAGTGCAAGCTCCATTGGTGCAAGCAGGTTGTGTGTGCATGCCTCTGCCACTCACACCAATGCAGCTATGTGCATTCGCTCCTGCCGCTCACTCACTCACCCACACACATACCCTTGAGCTAAGCTGGACTGCCAATGGTCAATGTCTGGAATACTCTACCTGACTCTGTGGTTTCTTCCCCAAACCCCCAAAACTTTAACCTTAGACTGTCTACTATTAACCTCACCCCTTTCCTAAGAGGTCTGTAGGGGGCGTGCATAAGCGCACCAAAGTGCCTACCGTCCCTGTCCTATTGTTTCTTTTTAATTTTTCTTATAGGTATCCATTCCATATATTCATAACTATGTTTATACTTATACATATTATCTTGTAAGCGATTGACAAATAAATAAATAAATAAATAAATATGGAAAGGTTGGGGACGGCTGTGTTAGACTACAAGGAGTTTTCGGCTTACAAAAGCTTGTTGAGTGACCATTGAAAGTTACAACGGCAGTGAAAAAAAGTGACTTAGGACTGTTTTTCAGAGTTACCACCTTTGTAGCATTCTCCAAAGTCATGTGACCCAAATTCGGACGCTTGGCAACCGGTTCAAACTTATGACCGTTGCTGTGTCCCAAGGTCACATAATCCCCTTTAGATTAGATTAACGGAGTTGGAAGGGACCTTGTAGGTCATCTAGTCCAACCCCCTGCCCAAAAAGGAGTCCCTACACCATTTCTGACAAATGGCAGTCCAGTCTCTTCTTGAAAGCTTCCAGTGATTATGAAGCTCCCACAACTTCCAAGGGCAACTTCTGTTCCACTGGTTGATTGTTCTCCCTGTCAGAAAGTTTCTCCTTATTTCCAGGTTGAATCTTTCCTTGGTCAGTTTCCATCCATTGTTCCTTGCCTGGCCTTCGGGTGCCTTTTGCAATCTTTTGAGAAGGAAAGTCAGTGGGGAAGCCAGATACGCTTCACAGTCGGGTTACTAACGTATCAACTGTGGTGATTCACTTAACAATGGAGGCAAGAAAGGTCGTAAAAGCAAGGCAAAATTCACTTAACCCATATCTCACTTAACAACGGTAACTTTGGGCTCCATTGTGGTCATTAAGTAGAGGAAACTAATGGCAGAAACCTTTGTAGAGCTCTCCAAACAAGAGAAATGGGAAATTCCTACACTGAATTTTGCATTATTAAAAAGGAGCGTTCCAACATTTCTCCCTTTGCAATGCTGCGCCGCTACACTTAATGGAAGTTACTGATTCAATTAGCGCTTCCTATCCAAACTCACCCACCGAACGGTTCCTTCTGGCTTAAGAATCTCCCTTCCGGTTTCGCCCGATATCTAGATTATACAGACTCCAAACGAGGTGGTCGGTTTAAAGCCGGAGGAATTTGAACGCGGGGGCACCGTGCCACCTATGGGAAATGAAGGAAATTTTCCTTGCCTGTGGAAGGGTTGAGTGGGCATCCTTTTATTTTTTTCCAAGCAAGAATTGGTGGTTATTTAAAAGAAGGGGGGGGGGGGAATCCAAATTCCAGGCTGAAAGAGTAAAGAAAGGATTGCTGAAGGAATTGTGCAATTTAAGAAAGGGGGGAAAGGAGAAAAGAAGACTAAAGAATAGGAGTTGCTGCTGTTTGATCTTATTATTATTATTATTTTAAATTTTCTTTAAGTCCTGCCTTTACGTATTGGACATGATAATGTCCCAGGCAGCCAAATCCTACTGGACAAGATAGGCATCGCACAGGCTAATCTGGCTCGGCTCACCAAATGTTTTTTCTTCTTCTTCTCACCTTAAAAAGAAGAGAGACCGACTGACCGATGGCTGCAGCACCCAAAAGCAAGGGGTCTTCAAACTTGACAGCTTTAAGACTTGTGGACTTCAACTCCCAGAATTCCTCCTCCAGTCATGTTAGCTCAGGAATTCTGGGAGTTGAAGTCCACAAATCTTAAACTTCCCAAGTTTGAAGACCCCTTGCCCCCAAAGCATCAGAGAAAGCAGGTAGGGCACATACATGAAGGTTGCAACAATAAAGAAAAGGAGGCAGGTCACAGTATTCCTTTCCGCTGCAAATCCATGTATTATTGATTTGGTTTATTTTAATTCACCATTTTGTACCTGTATTTGCCGTTTTACAGTCCCATTATCCTTAGTTTAGCAGTTGCTATTAGCGTTTTAAATAATTCTGAATAATATGTATTTAAAGTTTGGGCCTTTTAAATAATATATCGGAATTGTCCTCATTTATTATATATGCCCAAGGTAGCACTGACTGTTCTTAATGGCGCGTTTTACCCACATTTCGTCACCCCATTTTAAATATACACCCAATTGTGTTTGTTTAAAGGGGGCACTGCCTAGGTTAGTGTGTGTGTGCGTTTGTGTGTTTGTGTGTGTGTGTGTGTGTGTGTGTGTGTGTGTGTGTGTGTGTGTAATTCAAGGCTGGGCTGGGGTCTTCCAGTTCCTGAAAAGATACTGAACTGCCTTAAAGGGGCTAAAAGCTATTTGGATGAGGTCATCCCATCACCATCTTGCAAGTCAGGAGAAAAGATCTTCAAATCTTCACATTCTAGACCAGGGGTGTCAAACTCAAGGCCTGCACACCAGATCTGGCCCACGGGGTGCTTAGGCCACCTTGGAAAAAGTGAAGGACCGGCCCGCGGTGCCTCTGTCAGCAAAAACAGAGCGCCTCTCCCAAGCTCCGTTTTCAGCTGGGACGGAGCTCGGCTGGGACCCTCCGAGTTCCGTTTTCGCTGGCAGAAGGCTACAAGAGGCCACCCTGCCCAAAAAACAGAGCCCGGGGTTGGGGGCCCCTGCATGGGCACCTCCAAGCTCTGATTTTGCTGGCAGAGGGCTATGCCCACCTCATCCTATCCATGTCTCCCCCAGGACGCCCGAGGTCAAACACAACCCTGATGTGGCCTTCAGTGAAATCGAATTTCATAAGCCTGTTCTAGATTTCTAAAAGCAGGCAACTGACCACTATTCCATGCAAAAAACCCAAAAACCAAAAACTGTTCCCATCAAGGAGATTGTCCCAGGCTTTCTGGAAAGGTCCCGAACCTGGAAAGGTCCTGACCTCCATGGCACCACGCACGGCTGTCTCACCTGTAGAAGCTCCTCCGCTGAGCTTGGAGCTGGCTTCACTGTTGGAGGCCCGGAAGCTTTCGTCCTTCAGGGGAGGCCCATCGGAATCTCGGTCGTCCACGAAGCTGCCATCTTGGGAGTCCTTGGCGGGTTCAGCTTCGTCCCCGTTCTCCTCATCATCGCTGCAACCTTTTGGCTGCACCATGTAGACCCCCTCGGGGGGCACCTCCGTCCCCTCGGGGGCCTTGGGTTCCTTGCTCTCAATGCGCCCCAGCAAGGGGTCTTCGCTGTACTCGCCGTTGACCCACTTCTCGATCACTTCCCTCCGCTTGTCCTCTTCGATCTTTGTCCCCTCCGAAAATTTGGGGCCCGGCTCCTTGGCCACAGCCTGGGCGACGTCCTTGGGGGCGGCCGTCTCGCCGCCAGCGCTTTCCCACCCAAGGGGAGCTTTGTCGACGTGTCCCTGCTCCGGTGCTTTGTGCTCAACGACTACCTGACGGCTGAGCTTGGCACAAATTGCATTTAATTTCAGGCCACCTTTGCGCTTGGCAGCCATCTTGGGGTTTCCTGAGGTTGTGTCAGTGCATATACTTCTTTCAGCTGGAAGAAGGGGCGGAGGGGAGAGAGAGAGAAATAAAATGAATATTAGCAGAGGTTTATTAATTGTTCTATCCCACGCGTGTATAATGGACTTTTCTGAGGCAACAGGCTCAAAATAATGACAGCAACCTATACACAGAACACAGGTCTGTGGAGATTCTCAGTCATCCAGGTTATGAATGTCCCGAAGGTGCGTTTGTTTTTTTCTTCCAAGAAGCCATTTTGTTTTTCTTTGAAGACGTTTCGCTTCTCCTTAAAAGCAGCTTCTTCAGCAGCTCTGACTGGATGGCGGGGAATGGAAAGATCCCCTCAGGGTGAACACACAGATAAACCTCCAAGGGCCTCTAAAATGGATGCAAATGACCAGCTGTCTGCAAGGAGCATAAATCCTTCCCTTCTGCGCCATCCAGTCAGAGCTGAAGAAGCTTCTTGGAGGAGAAGCAAAAAAATCTTCAAACGAAAAAACAAGAAAGTCCAGTGACTTGAGAAAAAAGCACCTTTGGTGTAATAAACACAGTAAATATTGTAGATATTTGGGGGAAAAAACTGCCTTGGATAACCCAATCACTTGTCCAGTTTGTTCAGAAAAGGGAGAAGAAGAAAAAAAAAACAACCGAAAGTATTTCAAAGGTTAATTTGAAGTGAGTTCAAAACCTCTGGGCACCAACACTTTGGAGGCCCCGTCTCGCATTTGTGCCTTTTTCTTGTTCAACAATCTGACTCTCAAGAATAAGGACTTGCTAAGGCTGCCAGTACGTTTCCTAGCTGAGCTACAGACACACGGACATGGAATTTCTACTTCGGTGTCTACAGGTGGTCCTCGACATACAACAGTTCATTTAATGACCGTTCAAAGTTACAACGGCACGCAAAAAAGAAGTGACCGATGACTGTTTTTTCACGCTTACAGCATCTTCAGGGTCACCTGATCAAAATTCAGACATCTGGCAACTGACTCATATTTATGACGGGCAAAGTCAATGGGGAAGCCAGATTCACTTAACAACCAGGTTACTAACTTAACAACTGCTGAGAAACGCCTAACTATTGTGGAACGAAAGGTCGTAAAATGGGGGCAAACTCACTTAGCGGCAGAAATTGTGGACTCCACTGTGGTCGTTAAGTTGAGGACCATCTGTAGAAGTTTGATAAAATGAAGGAACCACCTCTTTAATAAAGCCATGTCAGGGTGCTGTCTCAACGATGCCCCAACAGATAATCGGAGTTGGAAGGGACCTTGTAGGTCATCTAGTCCAACCCCTTCTCTTTTGCCTGCCACTAATTTATTCTGTGTGGCCAAGACATAATTTTTCCCATTTGTGGGAAAAACAAAGATAATCCCCTCATGCTTGTCTTTTCACAAAACAACAGACACCTCTCTCTCTTTTAAGGTAGGAATTGGAGATGAAGATCCGCAACACGAATGGTCTCTAACCCTCACCTTCGCACATTTTTATTTTTACTTTTATAATATTACTCTTGGGCAATTTCTTATTTCAGAGGTTTTGTCTGGAAGTCAGTTGCCCGGAGTGGCTTGAGCTAGATGTTCTGACCTAGGCTTCCCAAGATCATGAAGCAGACTCGTCGTCCCGATAAAACCCCTTTCGCTCCTCTTTATTCCCTATGGGAAGGGCCATTCACCGTCCACCTGTGGCTTTACTCCCGAATTGACCCAGGTTCCTTAACTGTTCCCTTCTCCTGGCAGCTCTGTGCATGTGCACACTGGGAACAGGCTCCAGCTGTTCTTCTGCCCTACTGATATCCGACTCCGAAGGCAACTGATAACTGTCGGAGGGCCCTGGCCCCATCTCTGCCTCCGATGCAGAGCCCTTGTCAGAGCCTTCTCCAGACTCCAGGACTGGCCCATGTTCCTCCGCAACCTCCTCACTTGCACTCTGCTGCCAGCTCCGCCATAACACTAAGCAAGATATATTGACTAACAAAATGAACCAAATTAGAATGACACTTGGTTGGGTTTCATTCCAGAGATTCCGGGCTTTTCCCTAGCTGCTGCCCATGTACCCCACCCCCCATCCAGCCCCTGGTATCGTTCCCACTTAAGCCCCGAGAGGTGGGCACAGCATGCCATCCGCCCGAGCCCTGGTGGTGCACCCAGAAGCCTCTATGCCTTCCCCGCCAAGTGCTTCGACCTGACAGCCCAACCGAACAGCCTGAAACTTCAGAATGACCAATTGTCAGCAAGGGGCTGCTTAGCAGGCTCTGGGCACCATTTCCCATGAAAAGCGACAGAGAAGCGAGCGACAGCCGCTGGCCGATTCACAAAAGTGACAGCAAGGAGCCAATGCCCCTTAAAACCTCCCTTCCTGGGCATCAAGTGATGCTGCCTCCTACATTCCAGTGTAAGATCCTTTTCCCATCCCGTGCCACACCTAATAACCTTGATCCAAGAAAAGAATTTTAATTTGTCTCCTTAGAACTACTCAACTGAAATCACCCCACTTTCTCAGGCTATGTGGCAGCGTGGAAAATGGCTTCCAAAGCTGACAGGCGCCCCCCCTTGAGAAGTTCACCTCCTAAAAGAGATAATAAACATGGCTTCCAAAGCTGACGTGATGATTTCTTTCAACAGCCAGTTCACCAAACTACTCAGAAAGTTAAACAACCAGTTCTCGAACTGTCGTGAACCGGCTGAATCCCACCACTGAATCCCTCGGGGGCGTCCAGCGGACGGAGCTGAAAGCAGAGCAAATGCTGATCTCATTTTCAAAGCGGTGGGGAGCCTAATCAGACCATCAAACATGTGGGAGGCCCATAACCTTGCAAAAATAATCAAAGCACCCACTTTGCATTGTTCTTTTTCACCCACAACAAGGCGATGCCCCGATAACAGCAGGACAAAAAAAACACGTACACCTGTAGGAAAAAAAAGGAGAAAAAAAAAGAAAAACACGCCCGCTCGTATCCTCAGAGAAAGGACACACCCTGAACACACCTAAGTACTGTACATCTAGGTTCAGCAGATGCACACACAGATGCTCGCACAAACACGCACACGCACACACACATTGGCTTGTGTAATAATGGCTTTGAGGGGAATCCAGGTCAAAGTTTCGTCACTGCGGTTCCTTGGCCTCAGCTACCCCAGAAAGAAGGAGCAACCCAGGCCCACATCTGTCCTCAGCTACACCTCGGAGGAGGATCGCGGCAGGAGAGGGTTGAAGGAGGTGAAAGGCAGTGGGAAATTAACAACCAGCTTGGCTCCATCCAACAGATCTGGGAAAGTGTGTGTGTGTGTGAGAGAGACAGAGACAGAGACAGAGACAGAGAGACACAGAGAGAGTGAGAGAGAAAGAGATAGAGATGGAGACAGAGAGTTACAGAGACAGAGAGAGAGAGAGAGAGAGACGGAGATGGAGACAGAGACGGAGAGAGAGAGAGAGAGAGAGAGAAACAGAGACAGGGAGAGACAGAGAGAC